GACCTAATACTAGTAGAAAATTAACAGAAGTTCTTCTGCTCTGTTTCTACCTATCAACTAGAACTGCTCTCTGAAACGACCTACTGCAATTAGCTATTTAAAGACCCAGGTTTATGTAATCCATTTCCTATTTTCTCCTTGCTCCACAAATCACTGGGAAATACTCTCTTTTGCTGTATCAAAAAAAAAGAAAACAAACAAAAAAAAAAAGCAGCATCTCTTCCCTTAAGCTATTCTCATTTTGCCAAGTCAAGCACACAGCACTGATTTGTACTTCAGGCATCTTTCAGCATTTTGTCATACATGCACCTGCAACTGATTTTAACAGGATGCATAATACAGAACTCAAGCATATGGTAGTATACATATTAATCTACATAACACAGAAGGCAAATTTTATGTTGTAAATGCTCCTGCAAGCAGTTCCAAAAACATGGGAGTGTTTTTAGGCAGCCCATACTTCACCCGACAAAGCCTGACCCCTCCACAGCAAAAAGTGTTGTCCATCATGGATCTCTAGTTTCTGATGGCTTGGAAATACAACACACTGTAGTTTAGGCCATGTGATAGTTCCACTGTGCTAGCCCTTGGCTAGCAGCCAACACAGCCATTCACCCACTTCCCCCCCACCCTCAGGGGATAGGGGAGAGGACTGGGGGGGCAAGGAAAAGGAGGCTTGTAGGGTGAGATAAGAACAGTTTAATAATAGAGAGAAAACTTAAAATAATACTAATATTAAAATAGTAGAGATAATGATAACAGTAACAAAATATGCAAGTGAATGACACCCAATGTTATAGCTCACCCCCCTCCTGACCGAGCCCGGCCCGTTCCCAGATAACGATCCCGGAGGAGCGACAATCCCGAACCAAAACCGCAATCCCGGAAGAACGAGAGCCCGAGAGAAAGCCAGAGAGAGACGAGAGAGGAAGAGACTCTCACTGATATAGTGGACATGATGTGATATGATATGGAATAGCCCATTGGCATATCTAACTGTCAATTAAGTTTATTAATTTAAATATTCTTCCCCCTTAAATCTTGTGCTTGTGGACTAACAGAACACAACGTCCTTCACTTCCAGTGACAAAAATGCAAACACTGCTATGGTATCAGTGTCTCTCTCATAACAAACCCCAGCTGAAAGCAAAACACAGCACAATTCTAGCTATTGAAAAGGAAACCCAGCTCTGTTTCAGCTAAAAACCAGGACAGGCCACTATTAACCTAACTCAAAGAACTGATATTAATAAAGCAAATATTTTTCTATAGGAGAAACTGAATAACTGCATTTGAGCTAGAGGAGACAAATGTCATTTTGCCACACAAGAACAGGCCAGTATCGCAATATACTTGACAAAGATTGCTGGCTGTCAAATCTATTTATTTCAGCTGGATCACTGCCATTGAAATGCACTAGGAAATGTCAAGAAAAATAAAAAACCAAGCCTCTTTACAGGACAGGTATCATTACATCATCATTGTTTTATATCCTTAAATTATAACTCAAGGTGGGAAGTGTTCCTATATAAATATTTCATGGTATTAAATTCACTAAGATTCTGGACACAAGTTTCACAAAGTTTTCTCCAACTTAAGAGCAAAAAGGCATATACAACTGTATACTCTTGATGATGGTTTATACAAAGCTGAAAAGCTGTAACACCCACAGTTCTGAAGGAACAGGCCACTGAATTCCTAACAAAAAACCCCAAACAATTTGAAAGAACTAAATCAAACTGAAAACATATTCCTGTATGGTGAAAAAAATCTACTGAAATACTCATGTTCCTATATCCTTCAACAAGAAGCAAAACCACAAGATGACATAGTTGAGATTGGAAGGGACTTCTGGAGATATTCTAGTTCAATCCTCCCTGCCCAAAGCAGGGTAAGCTAGAGCAGGTTACACCATGCATGAAAATTTCCTCCCCACAGTAATTGTCCTTTAACTATAATGCTTTAAACACATTAGCCTTTGGATTACTTTTATGCCACCCATTTTTAAGAGCTCTTTACAAACACCCTGGAGTTCAAACTTGCTCCACCATATCTTGCTGTCTCCTAGAAAGCAGTATAAGTCAGATCTGCCTTTCTTGATCCCATGACATAATGTTCCTCCTGGTGTGTGAAATCTCTCTGGGGCACAAATTTCTTACTCTTCAGAGCAAGAAGTTTAGGGTAAGTCATTCATATCTCTGTCCAGTCCATTCTTGAAAACCTCAAGGACAGAGGCTGCACAATCTTACCAGGCAACCTGATCCACACTACAATCATGGTGTAAAAGTTGTTGGTTTTTTTCCATCCAGTTTGAATCTGTTGTTTCTACTTATGCCTGCTGTCTCTTGTTCTCTTACCACACATCACTGAACAGCTAAAATCCATTTGAACTGAGTTGCTATAAAATGTCCTCCTATTAATTAGAGATTTTATCTTCTAATAAATGTCACCTAACACAATGTATCCACAAACCAGACAGCTAGCATGCCTCGTGGTGGAGCATGCTAGCCTTTAAAATTAATATTTTTTCCTTTGGCACCACAGATGCATGTACAGGCATATATATACATATATATACACACATATACAGACATATAGATATGTATCTGTACTGCCAAAGGAAAAAAATACAGATTTTTTTTTTTTAAACCCCCAAGATCTGTAAGATACAGACTTAAGACTTCCTCTAGAGTTTTTCTGAGGAAATGGAAAATTATGAACTGATTCAAATCTTATCCTGTAACTATGACATCTTCTGTACAAAACCAAATATCCTGTATGTACTTTGTGTAACACAAGGTAGTGATGAGGTGCAGCACCAATGTTTATTATAAGCTTAAGAGGCATCCTGAAAAAAAAACAAAAAAAAACCAACCAACCGACCAACCAAAAAGCCAAAAAATCCCAAGACAACAACTTCATCTGTGATGCTTTCATATGATTATTTTGTTTCCTGCTTTAGCCAATGGACGAGATCAAGTCCTAACTCATTGTTAGTCCAGGTTACTTACAACTGAGATCAGGCCTCATATTGAAGCATTTTGCTTACAATCTGTTATTTCCAGTGTGATTGACAAACAAGTATCAAAAACTGATGCTCCAACTCCTTATGAAAAAGCAAAAACTTTCTACCAGGCTATCTGAAATGTTACTGAGAAAAATGCAAGCTAAGGAATCTAGAAGAATTTTATCCACTGAAAAAGACCCCTTTCTTTTTTTCTGACATACTTTGCTTTTTCAAATGGCTCACTTGTCAAAGTTTATATATTTAAAATGAGAATAAAAAGAGCCTTGTTTTTACATTAAAATAACATTGAAGAACATATATGGGTCGGTAATTTCTGTTCCAACTGTGATTTTAGATTATGGAAGGAAGTTATATGGTTTCAAGATTTTGCACAGATTTTTGCTCTGGTAATAGAATACAACTTGCATTATCATAAAAAATGTTTTAAAATATTTCTGTAATAATTTGCTGCACTTACTACATGAGTGACTTTCAGGGTATCACCATCAAATCTGCACAAGCTTGCACTATCTTCAAGAAAAGCATCACATTCTTCTAATTCTTGAGCATTACAAGGTGGGTTTTCCTTTTCAGGGCTGGGATTCTGAAATAAAAAGACAATGAACTACACTGAAAATTCGAGCTACTGAATATATATATATAAATCCCTTTTCATAACTGTCCTGGTTCAATAGAACAGGAAGAATCATTTGCACATCCTTACATACTTAAAAGATCAAGCTATTATGTACTTATTCAAAATGAATAGAACCATTTCTGCTTCGGAGGATAGCGTGAGTGGTAGGTACAACAAAATCAATTTCAGTTTAAGGAAAGGTACATAAGCCACTAAAACAGGGACAATAAATTCCCTTCTGCAAGTTGCAAAAGTATACAATCCTGAAAACCTACTAGGTTTAGTAAATTTACATCAGTGTAGGCTTCTTTCAGATTGTCATTGGAAACACTATTAAAAAAATGTTTAATTCATTTTTTAAGTATCTCTAAATACTTGCTTCCTTTTAGTTTTGCTTATAATTATTTATAATTAAGAATACTGTTATGCATATTTTTCAATGCATTCAAAACAAGAAAAAAACAGACTTATTTTTTCACCTTCCACATGTCAAGCAAAGGAAAAAGTCACTTTTACCACTAATTCAAGAGCAAGGTTTAACAGTATTGCACACAGAAAAAGCTTACTTCTGCTAATGACATCTTCCTTGGATAATTTTCAAAACAATCAAGCTATGTTACCTTTGTGATATATTTAAAGAACTAATTTCATGATAACAGAAAGGGACCTTGATTTAACAGAAGGCAAAAATAAACACCTTCCTTGTTAACTATGAATTAATGATGCATCTTGCACAAAAAAGACGTCATCTTGACAACTAATACAAGCTGAAAGCTGAGGCCAAAGCGAGCGTGTTAAGGGAAGATTAGACAGGGCACTGACTCAATTCATCTGACAGGGAGGAGTCCTTGAGTTCCTGTGCTCATTTCTTTATCCATTTCAGCTGATTATAAAGAACTTGTATTTTGTTCAGTCCACAAAGTGAAGGAGATAAGCACAATTTTTTTTTAATTGCCAAGACAATTTAAGTTCAAAGAAAACAAACATGAAGAGATAACAAAGGAACATCCTTAAATGACAGAAACCACAAAAATTGTCATATACTGCAGGTTGATGCACAAGACTTAAAGCAGGGTATCTGTCTTTCTAGAGACTAGACTTTGGGGTTCACCTCTCCTCTATCAAGCATTCTTGATTGCCTCTGGTTTACTGTTTCATTGGGTGGCTTTAAAAAAATCAAACTTCCAGGTAAATATAACATATTATAACATAATTATAACAACATTTATAACATAACATAAGCAACTGAGATAAACAAAAAAAAAATAATCTATGCCTTTATTATATATACATAGCTAAAGCTGCAGTATTAAAAAAATACTTCACATTTATTTAAATTAACAGTTATTTAAAGAAAGATTGTATTTTTTTACATGATCTTTATTGCACACAGGCTGAAAGGCTGTGCCAAAAAAAAAAAACTCCATCGCTTTAAGCTCAGTATGAGGTACAAAAGAAAATAAATTTGAGGTTCTCAATAAATCTATGGTCACTTTAAAGATGTACTACAATATCTTGCCCACAAATATTGAGGGAGAGAGGAGAGAAATCAACCTAGAGCACTAAGCAGATTTTAATAACAATTTTCAGCCTCATTAAAAAAAAAATAATAATCCAAACCTAATATATCAAAACCTATAGGTTTTAGATGAGATGCCATTTTCTAATTAAAACAAAAGAGGAAGTATCAAGCAAACAGCAGTTAAAAATTAATTTTTTTTTAAGTAGACTCCTTGCATAAAAAAAAATGACAGAAAGTTCATGAATCATGCTTATGCTTTCCTAAATTTTCCTTTTAAAAATGTCATTTACACTCACAGCCTGTAAGCCAAACACAGTATCCCTAGGTAGACAGTATAAAAGTGTTGCTAACCTATTGATAAACAAGGAACAGTAATTCTGAATCCTTCAAAATTACTTAAATCAACTGCTTTAAAACAAACTGCCACATCATAAGTGGTAGGAACACAATTTATTTTCATTGTTAAATCAGACTTCTGTTTTGGTGTGCAGATGCTATCACGTTAGCTAAATTCAGCCCTCCATGAAGATGGAATTACTGTTCAAAGTATATTTACAACTTTAATACCATTAGTTTGTTAACAGTTTCAGTTAAAAATGAATGTAGAGTTAGGATTCTGAATAGTAAATGAACCGATGAGCTATGTCAATGAAGTGCAAATTAGGATATCAAGAAAAGTCAACATGGAAATGTACAAGAATCTTAAATGTTTTATATTCAACTCCTTACCATTACTTCAGAGGTAAGATGCATCAGGCTTTCAGCTATGTCAGAGCACTGGGAAGAGTCCATAATGAATTCTCCTCTTGTGTCACCAACTATTAGCTCTGGCCACTGGCATCCTTCATTTTTCTTAATTAGAGAAATTTCCAAACTAAAATGCAAAGACAAAGAATACTACATGAAAACACTGCACCCATTTCTCAGATTAGTTAAAAAGCTCTAAACATAGATTTGAGCACTTCTCCTTTCCAAATTGAAGTAATAATGAAAAACACACAACAGAAACCATTAGCATTCAATTTATAAAATAAACTATTTTAATGGAAAATATTCTAAAGAGAAACAGACCAACGTGATTTCTAAAAGCCTAAGAACAAAGAGAATATATTCATGTAAGTGTTCTCAGTTTTCAATGTAAATGCAATTTCCCCTGAAACACTTTTATTTAAATATTTTAAATACTGTAGGAGATCACCTCTAAAGAAATCTATTCAAAAAGTGACAGAATTTTACTAAAGAGGTTTATTTGAAACCCAAGAAGTACTTAGAAGGGCTACTTAAGTGTGCACTACCTTTATATAACATGCAGGACAAAAATATTTGTGTTTTATAGATGGCAGAAATAGTACAACAGTTAATTATCAACTTTGTGTATCTAAAATCATATCTCAGAAGAGATAAGATTTTTGTAACCTGTAAAAAAACCAAAACAAAACAAAACCAACAAAAAACCCAACAAAACTTAAGAGAACCTAGTATAACCATTAGGAATAACTAAATAAACAGAAAACAAAGACTTGGCCCAATGCCCCAATTCCATTTAATTGCTCCATTAGACCAACACATGGATATAACAATAAAATGAGAAACAGTTTTATCATAATAACTTTTGAGATACACTTACAGGGTCTACAATGACAGTCTTTTACCTGACAGAACAGGAAAACCTTCTCGGTTACTAACTACTGCATCATAGTAATAACTACTCCGTGAACTCTGAATCTGTTTCTGAAGCAATTACATTGGTATTAGGAATAGCATACTTTTACAGAAGATATTTGGAGTAAGTTTTAGACTTTTAATCAGCAGATTTAAAGTGGTACTGCAGTACCGACATTAAGAACCAAGTGCAACTTATTACATTGACATGTAATTACTATTTCCCATTAAAACAGAAGCCTGAGAGTCATGCAATATTGCTCACTTGATCGACTAATAAAAAAATTGAGTTTCTCAGCTATTTTTCTCTATGATATCTAATAATCAATCAACAACTGAAAAATCACATTTTAGTATACAGCATTAGTATAATCTATATATAAATATTGGCCCCTCTATTTAATTCTTTTGGAGAACAACTATCTTTTACAGTTAACCTTTCAGGAAAAAGACATAATTTTTGCTGAGGGAAACCAAAGGAAAATCATACAATCACAGAATATCTCAAGTTGGAAAGAACTCATAAGTGTCACTGAGTCCAACTCCCTGCTCCTCACAGAACTACCTAAAACTAAACTATTCAACTATCAAAAGAAATTGAAAAAAAATTTAACTGGGAATGTCTTGCAGAAAATGTCACGCTCATTTTCATCATATCACATAATCAAATCTCACAAGGTATATTCACTTGTCTGCTTCACAAAGAAGTTCAAATAATGCATTAATGAAAAAATATATACAACACCTTTTGTTCTCTCTAATTATCCATGTACAGCTTTCATGGTCCACAGATGAAGAGAGTTTTCCTTCTATCAAAGGAGGCTGGTCTTTCAGTGTAACACAGATGTTATCAGGGGAAAAGCGTACTTTTATGTCATCCTTAGTGATATCTTGAGGAATGTGAACTGTTATTGTCACATCATCTTCAGTCTGCTGCCAGTAATAAAGAGGGTCTACAATTGGAAACATGCAGAAAAATACAAAACAGATTACAAATGCTGTCCCAGATTCCACAGCACACAATGCTGGGAGATATGGAATAGACGTTTGTGGAAGAGTGGAAATTAACTTTTACTCTGAACAATTTACATAAAATATATTCTGATTATAAAATGGAGAAACATTTTTTTAGCAATCAAGTTCAATTGTGTCCCTCATTTGGAGAGCAATTTATATTCATGTCTATACTCAAATATGCTGATGGAGTTATACAATAGGCATTAACTAATACTCTATTTTAGCATTACAAAATTGATAACAAAAATGTACTTAAACACATTGAAACATTAATGATTAATAATTTGGTTGAAGAGACATCAGGTGCAGTGGTACTGACAAGCTATTGCATGCTGAGGAGTATATGCCATTCAGAGACATGAACATTTTTTTCTTACCTATTTTTCCAGAAGCTATGCTCACTATTCAACAGAAATTATTTTAGAAGACCAAGTAGTCTTCAGCTCTTTCAGTTGATGGAGATGAAATAAAGTTGCCTGCCCAGAGGTACTGACTGGCTTTTGCTCCTGGGTCTAGAATCTGCCTGATGTCTATCTTGATTATTAAACTGCTACAAGAAGTGGTCTTTTAAGAGAAATATTTATACAAAAGGAAGTCTGTGACAGCATGACTGGGTAGTGCACAGCTGGTTACAGAAAGCACAAATACAGATGCATTCATTTTCTAAAGAGCAATCTTGTACATGTACCTTCCTATTTAGAGAAAAGTGAAGTATGGCTTGACCTTTGTAAACTCTCAAGTTGTTACAACACAACACAAGATTTTGTTGATCTAAGCTTCATGTCAGCAACTGTGACTCTGGAAGGACTCATGGCCTGTTACCATGAGTTTCCTGTTTGCAATGGATCAGTTACAGATGCCACAAATATACAGAAACTATTAATATCTGAGATACGACAGCCTTCAAAATTCTGAACTTTGACATGGATTGTATCTGGTATTAAAAGTCTTAATTTATAATAAAACTGAATGACAAAAAAAAGTAGCTCAGACTTCCTCTCTCCCATATTCAAGACAGTCTTCTCATAATGTCAGAAATGTGCAGATGAGATTATGAAAGAACAAATTAAAAACCAAAATACCAACGTGTAACATAACTGCCTTAATATTTCTTTATCTATTGCTGTAAACTCCTATAAAAATTAAAGAGTTCTACTGCTTCACTATCTGATATCTATTATGCCTGCAATTTCATATAACCATGCAACTAAAATTACAGCCTACATTAGATTTAGCAGGAGACAAATTCTCTCTTAAAGAGGTATTAAGACTTCCCTCTAAACTAGGAGTTCAGGTTTCAGTACTATTTCTACTATTAGATTTTTGTGCCCTGAGAAGTTTTCTAAAGGTATTTGCTGCAAACAGTACTCCACGTATTACAGATTTCTGGGCTTTGGCGACAACATATGTGCCCATACAGGCATGAAATTAGCTATGCTAAGAGCCATATAGTATTCTTTACTGTGTTTCCTTAATCACACCTAGCACACAACTGAAGAAGCTCTTAAAATCCTTAAAACATTGAACTAGCTAATTCAGGTAACAACTGCATAGACATTGCACTATGGTGCTCAGTGCACTGAAGAAATCCTCTGCCTCAAGATTTATACATACAGACTATTCTTAGTACACTTATATGTACAACATCACAGATACCACAGTGTGCAATATTCCAGAAAATTGACCTTTTGGTATTGTTATTTAAAACTAAATCTGAATTAATACAATATAACTACATAAACATACATATTACAGAGATCAGTGACATTTAAGATAAAACAACTTTATGAATGGGTTTTTAAATACTTAATTTTATTCTGATCTGTGATAGTTTAACTTCGCTGGCAGCCAAA